CACCTATACATACAAATAAAAAAGCATTATTCTCAATACTCCTATAGCTGATAATGCTTGTGTATAATCGCAGCGCATGTTTTTTAATACTTAAATGAAGGAAATCTAATTCTATTAAAAAAAGAAGAGATTCTAAACAGTGAAAATGGAATTAAGCTAGTAGTAACAAGGTACATGAGAAAAAACTACAAAAATAAAAAGCAGCAATTGGAATATCAAAAATTAATCAAATCTTCATCCTTTTCAATGACTCTACTACTTGAGCCATAGTAGGACGAGCTCTAGGATCAGCTTTAAGTCCTCTTTGTATGAGAGACTTCATATCAGACCAAGATACAGAATCAGACTGTCGTGCCCTTTCTTCAATTGTCATTTCTGGTTTAGAATGTAAATTCATTTCCATAAGGAGAACAGAGTAACTGTAGACATCCATTGCTGGACTGTGTTGATCAGGATCACGAGCTTCTGGTGCAGAATATGCTGGATTGCCTGGCATAACAGTACCAGTACTTTCAGCTTGCACTACTTTAGCTGTACCATAATCTGCTACTTTAGCTTCATAACCAGCAGCTCCAGTGGAAGGCTTTAATAATACGTTAGGACTGCTCACATCTCTGTGAATAATAGGATGAGGCTTAAACAGGTGAAGGTAGTTGAGGCCTAAAGCTACATCCTGAGCAATACTGATAATCTGCTGCTTTGTTAACTCATTCTCTCGAATCTCCTGATTAAGACTAGTGCTCATCAGCTCAGTCAAGATGAGAAGATTACCCACTTTAGTTGCACCAATAAACTGGACCAGGTTAGGATGACGTACTCGTGATGCTATACTCATTTCCCTGGAGAAGATACCTAGATTATATTTTGAAATGATGATATTATGAAGTGACTTGACAGCTACTCTTAAACCTCTAAAAATACCAACTGTAACGACGCCATAAGATCCTCGTCCTAACTCCTCCTTTGTCAAAATCACTTCATCTTTATCAATAACCCAGTGATCATCAGTAAGTGCTTGTTGCTGGTACCTATGAACTGCATCTTGAGACTGACATAGCTCCCTATCCTTCTCCTGCAGTGCCACTTGATGCTCCCTATCTTTCTCCTGTAGCTTTCTATCTTTCTCCTGTAGCTCTCTATCTTTCTCCTTTAGCTCTCTATCTTTCTCCTGCAGCTCCCTATCCTTCTCCTGTAGCACTCCTAGCTGAAGTATATCTTCCTGTAGTGCCTCCAGCTCCCTGTTCTTTTCCTTTAGCTTTTTATGCCTCTTCCTTACCTCTTTATCCTTGACCTGTAGCTCCTTATCTTTCTCAAGTATCACGATATCCTTTTGTTGTAGTGCCTCCTGTAGCTCCAGCAGTACTACCTGATGCTCCCTATCCTTCTCCTGTAGCTCCATATCCTTCTCCTGTAGCTCCCTATCCTTCTCTTGTAACTGGTTATGATATCTCTCCTCTCTCTCTGCCTCCTCCCTATCCTTCTCTTGTAGCTGTTGACTATATCTTCTTATTTCTTGATCTTTCTCTGCTTCTTCTTTTTCCTTTTGCTCCATTTGCCAATGAAATAGTTTTACTTCTTTCTCTTTTTCATTCTCCTTTTTTTGCAATTCTCTCTCCTTCACTTCAAGACTCTTCATAAGAGCTTGTACGGTTTGCTCAGTATCAGCTGTATCTCCTTTTATTGGTTTCTGGTACTCCTCCAACCATATTTTTCTTCCTGTTTGTAGTTGCTGCTGATACTTAATCTTGCAGTACTCACCAGTCATGTCATTTGTATCAAATGTATCACCTACTGTCCACTCTCCTTTACTTTTCAGAACTAATAATTATTATAACATAAAGAAAACTGTATCATGTACCGTATGGAAGGAAATTTTGGAGGTAGTTAAATTTGGCGAATTTGGCATTTTGATAGCCATTCGCCAAAATAAAAATTTGCCATTTTGAGCCATTATACGCATGCTCAATGGCACATGGCCACAAATTCGCCAAAATAAAATTCGCCAAATTAAAATTCGCCAATCACCAAAATTTAGCAATTCGCCAAAAATTTAATCCCTCCAAAATTTCCTTCTGTACGGTATTAAGTATGGTACATTATATAGGAACTATGATGCAAATGTAAACACTAAACTGACCTAGTTCAGTTTGCATAACAGTGTTAGGATTAAGAACATATGTGAAGTTTCTATCAATAGCTCCTCCAACAGATATTATCCAGACACAATGAGGACTCATAATGAACACTGAGAGAGAATGACTATATCTTTTATTAACAGAGTGAGGTACATCTAACTGTTAATAGAAATAAATTAATAATTTACATGTATCTCACTGTACATACCTTTATCCAGGAATGTTGAGTGATGTTTAAGATCCAACAATCATCTAATGTATCATTATTCTTATCCCACCCACCACTTATCACTAGCATAGGACAGTCTGATCCAGTTATAATAGCACCTGCATGATAATATCTACCTACAGGCCATTGGTCTATTGCTTCAGGTTTCTTTATACACTGCCAGAACTATAATAAATAAAATAACCACACCTGTTACTTAAAACATGCATAGAGCAAATTTTTAAGCATTCTTTTTTAAAGATTTATAAAAATAAAATCCGTGAAAATCAATTTATCATTACAAGATAACAGAGTGTTGTATGCTAAGAGTTATTTCATGTGAAATTAATCTTTGTGCATGCTCAAAATCAATTTTATCAAAATAAATAAGTATAAACAAAAATTTTGTAAATCACTAAAATCAATTCCAATGAAAATTTAAACAATGAAAATTTGAAGCCAACCAGATACTCTTGGTGTGTGTGCATGCATACATTCAGTACACATAATTTAACATACCACAGTGCTGATTGATATCTCTAATACATAAATGTTGCTATTAGCAGTAGTCTTAGCATCATCATCAGTCCCTAGTCCACCAAACAGAACAGCTCTAGTGTTGTTGATTTTTTCAACGATGAAACCATAAGCAGGTGGTATACACTGACCAATGATTGAAGGAGTACTCCATTTTCCTAAATTAAAAATAAAAATTATGAACTTGACTTTAACGAGTAATAAATTTAAAAATTATGTACTTGATGATGTATCATATATTGAGTGCTCATTAGTATGCCATCTTCCACCAGTGAACTTAATATATTCATAATGAGGTAGTTGTACAGCTGGTTTAGATCCTATTCCTCCTATCATTAGTAAATGGTGTACTCCATCATGTTCAAATGATATCATTCCACCATGACCTCTCCTCATAACTGGTCTAGTTGCATCAGTTGGTTCTATTTCTGTCCATTGAAGACTAACGGTATCCAGTTGTGTAATACTGTTGTGACAGCAGTTGTCATGGCTACAATAACCCCCAAAATAATACAATAGATCATTTATTGCAGTACTGCAGTATGCAATGATTCCTAATGGAGGAGTACCAGTAGTATCTCTAGTGACCCATTGACCAGTTAAAGGAGTAAAGTGCTGTATAGTACTAGTGATCCTTGTCTTCTCTTCATTATCATGTACTTTAGGTAAATCATCCTGATCACCACCCCACACATACAGCGAATCATCTACTGATACAGTGCGGTGAGTTGCTCTTCCATTCAGTTGATCTAGTATGACAAAAATCACTGGGGTGGTAAAAAGATTAAAGTACTTACAAGATAGCCCATCGGCACTGTCTTGATTTGCACCATAGCTTGCACTTCTCCTCCACCAGAGAAGATTAGCCATGTTACGACGCCACAAGCGCCAGCTTGGGCTCAAAAAATCACAGATAAAAATTAATTTACTCCAGCAATTCTATGCAAAACAAGCGATGACAAAACAACCTGCGCCACCCAACACTTTGAAAATTGCACTATGGGCGTGGCTCACTGCGTGCATGCATAGCTCGCAAGTCAGCTCATGAATTTACTTACCATTAAATAGGTTCAATATCCTATTTCAAGTTTAGATATTATCTATGACAAGTTTTGAATTTCATAAACGAGTTCAAACATTTTGTTTATTGTACTGATATAATATGCTCTTCATTGAGTTTCTGGTACTCCTCCCTCCTCCTCCTTTCTTCTTCCTGTCTGTAGTTGCTGCTGATATTTCTTCTTGTATTCTTCATTATTCATACCATTGGTATCTAATGTATCACTTACTGTCCACTCTCCTTTACTGTTCAAAACTATAATTATAACGAAATAGATTGTTATGTACTCATAGTATATTTCAAAGAATAACAAGTAATACTACACTAACCTAGTTCAGTCAACATAGTAGTGTTAGGATATGTGGTAAGTGTCCCTGTCTTATCAACACATCCTCCAACAGTTATTATCCAGACACGATGAGGACTCATAATGAACACTGAGAGAGAATGACCATATCTCTTACTAACAGAGTGAGGTACATCTAACTGTTAATAGAAATAAATTAATAATTTACATGTATCTCACTGTACATACCTTTATCCAGGAACGTTGAGTGATGTTAAAGATCCAACAATCATCTAATATATCATCATCATCACCCTCCCCACCACTTATCACTAGCATAGGACAGTCTGATCCAGTTATAATAATAGCACCTGCATGATAGCATCTACCCACTGGCCATTGGTCTATTGGTTCGGGTTTCTTTATACACTGCCAGAACTAATAAACGAAGAGTGCATATACATTTCAGAGCCTGAAATTACAGTCGGACATCAGACATTTTCCGACCATTTTGCTTAATTGTCCGACCAACTACCATGTTGTTCTACCATTTTGTCTGAACATTAGTAAACAACACAAAATTTTTATTAGTATTATTACTAAATTAATGGTTATGCTTTTGTAAGTTTCTTTACATTACAAAAAAATTTTGAATTAAACACTCACTAACAAGCACACACATTGACATATAAAAAGGATAAATGAACATGTCCAACCATTTCATTCAAATGTCAGACCAAAATAGGCTGTGTTCAGACATAATGTCAGAACACTGTTTAAATGTAATTTCAGGCTCTGCATTTAGATTCAGTACACATAAATTAACATACCACAGTGCTGATTGACATCTCTAATAAATAAATATTGTTAGTAAAAGTATTCTCAGATTCATCATCAGTCTCTCGTCCACCAAACAGAACAGCTCTAGTGTTGTTGATCTTTTCAATGATGAAGTGACTAGCAGGTGGTATACACTGACCAATGATTGAAGGATCGTTCCATTTTCCTAAATTAAAATTATTAACGTAATTTCAAACAATAATGAAATTTTACTTGATGATATATTATATACTGAGTGCTCATTAGTACGCCATTTTCCACTAGGTAACTCAATATATTTATAATGAGGTAGTTGTACAGCTGGTTTAGATCCTCTTCCTCCTATCATTAGTAAATGGTGTACTCCATCATGTTCAAATGATATCATTCCACCACCACCTCTCCTCATAACTGGTCTAGTTGCATCAGTTGGTTCTATTTCTGTCCATTGAAGACTACCAGCATCCAGTTGTGTAATACTATTGTGATTGCAGTCGTCATGACCACACTTTCCCCCAAAATAATACAATAGATCATTTATTGCAGTACAGCAGTATCCAATGATTCCTAATGGAGGAGTACCAGTAGTACCTCTAGTGATCCATTGACCAGTTGAAGGAGTAAAGTGCTGTATATTACTAGTGATCCTTCTCTTCTCTTCACTATCATGTACTTCAGGCAAATCAACCTGATCACCACCCCACACATACAGTGAATCACCTACTGATAAGGCGCAGTGAGCAGCTCTTCCATCTATATGATAGTAGATGATCACTGGAATAGCAACAATAAGTACTTACTTGTAGTCTTGGGCACTTGTGACGCCATGGGGCCAACTGCCAAGCTCTAGCTATGCCCGGGCCCCGGAGCCCCTCCTCCAACTACACAGCCAATTAATCTAAGTTTGTGGTTGAATCATGAATGATGTCAGTCCTGATCCGGCCTAATGCATCCTGAATCATGGATTTTGGGCAGCTAACATTGCAGCTCATTACTGCATTGCAATTGAGCCTAGCTTGATCTATCAGTCTTGATACAATCATGCTGGAATTCATACTGGTTCAGCCAGAGCAACATGCATGATTCGGCAATGATATCTGTCAGACTTTTATCAATACTGTAATCAGGCTCGATTCATTGATTTTAGGCAGTGTCTTGTATTATACATGCTTACTCTTGGCTGTGTAGAGTCAGACCATACCCATTTATATGCAAAAGGCATTCTTGTATCTATCCGGCTACACAAAGCAGTCAGAACATCACATATTGCAGATCTGTATTATTATTTATAATATATATATGTAAAAAAGAAGAAGAAAAACAGAAAAGAAAGAAGAAATCAAAAGAGAATTCAAAACTGAAAAAGAAAATAATAAGTAGAACAGCAAATAACTAAAAGTATACAAGTTTTAAAACTATCTAAGCAGCCACTACTATTGGAATATCAAAAATATAAAAATCAAATCTTAATCCTTTTCAAAAACTCCAATACTTGAGCCATAGTAGGACGGTTTTTGGGATTATTGTCAAGTCCTCTTTGTATGAGAGACTTCATATCAGACCAGGAGACACTACCAGATTGTCGTGCTCTTCTTGCTGTCTCCATTTCTGGTGGACGACATAAATTCATTTCCATAAGGAGAACAGAGTAACTGTAGACATCCATTGCTGGACTGTGTTGATCAGGATCACGAGCTTCTGGTGCAGCATATGCTGGATTGCCTGCCATATAAGGACCAGTGCCAGTCCTAGCAGTGGTAGCTTGCACTACTTTAACTGTACCATAATCTGCTACTTTAGCTTCATAACCAGCAGGCCCAGTGCAAGGCTTTAATAATACATTAGGACTGCTCACATCTCTGTGAATAATAGGTGGTTGAAACAGGTGAAGGTAGTTGAGGCCTAAAGCTACATCTTGAGCAATACTCAGAATCTGTTTATTTGTTAATCGTTTTTTCTGCAGCTGATGACTAAGACTAGTGCTCATCAGCTCGGTCAAGATGAGAGGATTACCCACTTTAGTTGCACCAATAAACTGGACCAGGTTAGGATGACGTATTTGTGATGCTACAGTCATTTCCCTAGAGAAGAGAGCTAAATTATAATCTGAGATAATGATAGTATGAAGTGACTTGACAGCTACTCTTAAACCTCTGAAGATACCAACTGTAACGACAGCATAAGATCCTCTTCCTAACTCCTCATCTGTCAAAATCACCTCATCTTTATTAATAACCCAGTGATCATCAGTTAGCTCTGCTTGTTGCTGGTACCTACGAACTGCATCTTGAGACTGATGCAGCTCTTCATCCTTCTCCTGTAGCTCCCTATCCTTCTCCTGCAGTGCCACCTGATGCTCCCTATCTTTCTCCAGCAGTACCACCTGATGCTCCACATCCTTCTCCTGTAATGCCCTATCCTTCTCCTGTAGCTCCCTATCCTTCTCCTGTAACTGGTTATGATATCTCTCCTCTCTCTCTGCCTCCTCTCTATCCTTCTTTTGTAGCTGATGTCGATATCTTCTTATTTCTTGAGCTTTCTTTGCTTCTTCTCTTTCCTTCTGCTCCAACTGCTGACAAAAGACTTGTGCTCTTCTCTTTCTTTCTTGTAATTCTTTCTCCTTCTCTTCAATAGCTTGCTCAAACTCCTCCAACCACATTCTTCCTCCTATTTGTAGTTGATGCTGATACCTCTTCTTGTATTCTTCATTATTCATATCATTGGTATCTAATGTACTACCTACTGCCCACTGTCCTTTACTGTTAGTAACTAAAGTAGATACATACAATCAATCCCTCACCAATATTATCATCCCACTACACTGACCTAGTTCATTTAACATGGCAACATTAGGTTTACTGATGTAGTTGGAATCAGAGGGACACTGTCCTCCTACAGTTATTATCCAAACACAAAGAGGACTACTCATACTGAACGATGAGAGAGAATGACCCCATCTCTTACTGACAGAGTGAGGTACATCTAACTGTTAATAGAAATAAATTAATAATTTACATGTATCTCACTGTACATACCTTTATCCAGGAATGTTGAGTGATGTTAAAGATCCAACAATCATCTAACGTATCATCATCCTTCCCACCACTTATCACTAGCATAGGACAGTCTGATCTAGTTATAATAATAGCACCTGCATGATAATATCTATCCACAGGCCATTGGTCTATTGCTACAGGTTTCTTTATACACTGCCAGAACTAATAAATAATAATAAACAATGACATATATAGTATGCATGCACATATTTTAACGTACAACAGTGCTGATTGATATCTTTAATATGTAAACATTGTTAGTAGCAGTATCCTTAGCCTTATCATCAGTCTCTATTCCACCAAACAGAACAGCTCTAGTGTTGTTGATCTTTTCAATGATGAAGTGACTAGCAGGTGGTATACACTGACCAATGATTAAAGGATTACTCCATTCTCCTAAATTAAAATTATTGACATAATTTCAAACAATAATAAGCTATACTTGATGATATATTATATATTGAGTGCTCATTAGTCTGCCAGTCTCCATCAGTAAACTCAATATATTTATAATGAGGTAGTTGTACAGCTGGTTTAGATCCTTTTCCTCCTATCATTAGTAAATGTGCTCCATCATGTTCAAATGATATCATTCCACCACCACCCCTCCTCATAACTGGTCTAGTTGCATCAGTTGGTTCTAATTCTCTCCATTGAAGACTAACAGTATCCAGTTGTGTAATACTGTTGTGATTACAGCTGTCATGGCCACACTCTCCTCCAAAATAATACAATTGATCATTTATTGCAGTACAGCAATATTCAATGATTCCTAATGGAGGAGTACCAGTAGTACCTCTAGTGATCCATTGACCAGTTGAAAGAGTAAAGTGTTGTATATCACTAGTGATCCTTCGCTTTTCTGCACTATCATGTACTTTAGGCAAGCCATTATGATGGCCAGCCCACACATACAATGAATGGTCTATGGATACAGCGCGGTGATGGGCTCTTTTTCTCGGTTTATCTACGATAAAACAATAAACATGGTAAACAATAATGGATTGATAACATCTTACTTTTGAACGACATAGCAACTGTACTGCAAGCCTAGTTTGATGACAGTGCCAGGCTGGTCTGGGCGGCGAGACTACTGTTTATAGTTAGGCCTGGGCCTAGCATACACAGCCAAGAATTTTCATGCTGATACAGTAGTACTGCCCAAAGTCAATGATTCAAGCCTGATGTCTATTTTGATACAGCCCTGACTGGCATCAATGTTGAATCATGTCCATTGCTCTGGCTGAACCAGGGCTGTACTCCAGCATGGTTGTATCATGGATGGTTATCGTGATTGTATCATACTAGACTCATTGCTTTGCAGGCTGCCCAAAGTCCATGATACAGGGATGTATCAAGGCTGATCCTGATTGATATCAGTCATGATTCAAAGTAAAATTCTTGGCTGTGTAGGGCGAGGCATTTCCTGTAGCATACCACTAAGATTATGTGTTTACGTACATTGTGTAGATCTATATCTATCTATGCCAGTAGCAGCATAGCTACTACAAACACACTATATCTATGCCAGCAGTAACGTAATGTACCATAATTATGTTGCCAAAGCTAAACAAAATGAATTTGGTGAAATTACCCATGTGGTGCAACCATAGATCATAATCATTATCATACAGTATTCATTTGATATCGTAAAGCTTTAAAGGTGTGGCTGATTAATAATAATTTTCCAAAACTGAAATTGTGTTTATTGTAACTGAAATTGTGTTTATTGTAACTGAAATTGTGTTTATTGTACAAGTCTGTATGTGACATATCTGCCAGCAGTTTCACTTGGTCTTATGATCTTTACTACCTAATGAATGGAGGAAGGAGAGAAAGAGAGAGATAATTTTAGAAATTTAGTATCCATTACTTGTCCTCTTTTCAGTCCATAGTACCTAGCAACAGGGTCACCTGACTGTATCTTAGGCAACTGGTGCTCCTTTAATTTACTGATCATTGTTATTAAGAAGAAAATAACTGAAAATAAAATACAGTATAGTCTCTCTTAATGGATACTCTCTATAGCGTACACCTCCATTTAACGGACAGCACCTAGTGTACCAATTACATTCCTTACTGTATAAAATAACCTCCACATAAAGAATACCTCTGTATAACAGAAACACATTCTTGCCCCAAAGTGTCCATTATATAGAGGCTACACTGTATACTAACATTAACATTTTGTGTTTACTTTGACTTGTAATCAACTTGTTCCAAAAATAGAACAGAATTCTATTCTTAGGTACGTGTAGTTAGGTACAAGATTACAGTAACTACAGAAGTTGCTAGCCTAGTATATAGGGCTTTAGGATACTATCTTGCTAATAATTCTCTCTTTTCCTCCGTTGTCATCACAATATGTTCTGGAACCAACTACAAAGCTATATAAACCACTTCCAAACCATACCCACTCACCTCATGTTCAGTTATATTAATCATAAGCTCCGCCTCCATGAACTGTTCCAATATGTATTTAGGAGCCATATCAACTAGTGCTTGTTTAGCTGATGGGGTCATTCCTTGCTGTACAACTATAATGGCCCTTGATATATTCTCCTCCTGCATTCTACCACAATATCTGATAATGAGAGAGAGAGAGAATAGGAACAAATGACAAGCATTTTTACATTCAAAACTTTTTCAAATTTTGAGCTAAATGAATGTTTTTAAAAAAAATGCTTTTTAAGTTTTATTAATGAATCCTGAGCACAATGGCCCATGTGATGATATAATGTATTTGATTTTGTTGGTTATAAAAATTGGGAAGAAACAAAAGAGCAAGAACATGCAAATATAAATTAAATATACCAGAATGTACAATATATTATCTACATGCTCAATGTGTTCCCCACTCACTGTTTAATAGTCTTAATGCCAACTTTAGGATCTTCAGGAAAGAACACAAACATCTGATCGGTTGGATCATCATTATGAGCTACTAGTATTGAGAGGTCGTTCCTCGAAGGGTGTCCATCATTGGGTCTCTCCCCAAACTGCTCCTTAAATTGATCCAAAGTTTGATCCAACTCGTCCTGGGTCACCAGATACCGCCTGTCATGACACATCTGCATGACTGTCTTCCTAATACGCCATAGTCTGTAGGTAACCTCCTCGTTATCCATTAGAAGAGAGAAGGAAGGATAGGAGAAGATGGGCAAACACTAAAAATATGCTGATTTTGCTAATAGGCGTGGTCAAACAAATTGACCCACGTTGTAGCACGTGGGTGATTTGGGTGTGACGGAAGGCGTGGTTAAAATAAGGCGCCATTTTGAAATAGGTGGGGCTAGTATAGTGGAGTACTATCTCTCCAGTTCTTTCAGCTTTCTATACTCCTCAATCACTCTTCTTCTGCTGTATAATGTCTGAGGTAAGATTCTTGTAGTTTTTATCTACATACTCTTATTTTTAATAATTTTTCTTTATTTTTAGGAAGAAATTGTGAGTAATGCTACACCAGAAGTTCTCTATCTGCTGCTGTGTAGAGAGCACAGGGTCTCCAGAAGCGTTAGAGTCAACTGGTTCTTTAATAACTTATTCAAGAGCAGCTCACAATGGCTGAGCACTGGACACAGTGTAATTACAAGAACATTTATCATTATTCTGGGATCGGGGCTTAGTTTGTAGCCTAGGGGGCTTGGGATTATCTTTATAGGGGTCTGGTACAGGTTTAAAATTTAATAAGGGTATCATAATTTTTAAACTTAGGTTGAAGATTGATTTAAAATTTAAAATTTATTATTATTATTACTTGATTAAAATTTTAATAGGGGTCTGGTACAGGTTTAAAATTTAATAAGGGTATCGTAATTTTTAAAATTAGGTTGAAGATTGATTTAAAATTTAAAATTTTATTATTATTATTACTTGATTAAAATTTTAATTTATTATTATTATAAATTTAATTTATTATTATTACTGTAGGAAGGAGAGCAAGATGAAGGTGCTACAGTTAAAGGAGATGAACCATTAACTGTACTATGGAGTAATACTGATAGACTCACTCCATCAACTAGTGTACATTACGTTGCACAGAATGCCAGTTTAATATTTGTCATAGATATGACATCATCGATGATGCAAGTGGTGAGTAGGCGGAGCAATACAAGAATACTTTATTAGAAAAATGCCCAAGGCTATAGCCCATGGGTTTTTCCAAAAAATGGCTCTGGAATCACCCCAAATTTTTATTACATTTTTTGATACATATTGATATCCTTATGCTATGTAGCAAGTTTGAGGTGATTCCGACTTCAATTTTTCAAGTTATGGCCATTTTAAGAAAACATCAAAATTCTGAAAAAATCCCTGTACTATAGCCCATGGTTTTTTCCAAAAAATGGCTCCGAAATCATCCCCAATTTTTATTACATTTTCTAATACATATTGGTGTCCTTATGCTGTGTAAAAAGTTTGAGCTGATTCCGACTTCAATTTTTCAAGTTACGGCCATTTTAAGAAAATATCAAAATTCTGAAAAAATCCCTGTACTATAGCCCATGGTTTTTTCCAAAAAATGGCTCCAAAACCACCCCCAATTTTTATTACATTTTCTTGTACATATTGATGTCCTTATGCTGTGTAGAAAGTTTGAGCTGATTCCAACTTCAACTTTTCAAGTTACGGCCATTTTAAGAAAACGCCAAAATTATGAAAAATACCCAAGGCTATTATAGCCCGTGGTTTTTCCGAAAAAAACCTTCATACTTACATTGTATAGTTGCAATGCTTTATAGTCAAATTACCATTATTGATAATTTATAATTTTCTGTTTAGAGCAACGAGACTTTCTCCGTTAAACTTGATGAGGCTGTTCGTGGACTTGAAAAATGTCTCAGCGATCTCATACAGCCCGTGAGTTGTAGGCGTGATCGGGGGCGTGGCTAACAGTCTAAATTTTTTAGATGAGAGTCAATAAGACCAGTATTGTCCCTCACCTGTGTGTTACTATACTAGTTTATAATGGAAGCAAGAAGGTAACAAGAACCGTTATAATGTTTATTTTAGTGATATTGGCAATTTGAAATCAAATTTAAATCCACCAATCATTAATGTATTATGTTCATACATGTACTAATTCATGTATGCACAAAATTGCCAAATTAAAAAACAACAAATAAGTTTTATAGCAAAATAAATTGCTGCCAAATTAAAGGCATTATAAATATACAATAATAATGGTTCTTTCTTTCTTTCTTTCTCTCTTTCCAGCCAGTTGAAGTGATACTGCACGGTATTCATCTTCAGTCAGATAACATTAATCACACTCTTACACTTGCTAATAAAAAGTTGAATCAACTCAAGACCAAATCGATCCAAAAAGGTAGTGTTAATAATAAAATGATAATAATTATTAATAAAATAATATTGGTTATTGGTTCATTAAATATAATTGTAATAACTTTGACAGCCTATTTAAAATCGTTGTTATATACAAACACAACAATAATGATGATAGGAAAATTTGCAGTCGGAATCGTCTTTTTAATTATGAATATGAACCTATTACCTATATCACCACTCCCCTCCCTCTTCCCCCTCCCTCTCCCTCCCTCTCTCTCTCTCTCTCTCTCTCCCTCCCTCTCTCTCTCTCTCTCTCTCTCTCCCTCTCTCTCTCTCTCTCATAACATCTTCATTCCGTCCGGTACTTGTCCACACTTATAACAAGTTTCTCCTGCCTCAAGGACAGTCTTTGCACATTCTTGACAATACAGTGCCTCCGAGTGACCACGTCCATTATGTGTGGGCGTGAGTCTAGCGGTAGCCAACCCACAAATCCGACAGAGCATAGGAGCAGGAATAGAAGTCGGAGGTGACGGTATGAAATGGGTAATAGGTCGTACGTACGGTCGCTGATATTGCTCCTTACTCGCGAAAAACTTGTGCTGTTGGCTGACAGGCGGGGCACTTGTTGGTGGGTGTGGCCATAAAGTAGGCGTGGCTTTGGGCGAGTCAGTCCTGAAACAAATATCACATAAGTCGAATTCACATACTTGACAGTGGTGCATTTTAGCCAAAGGATTTGTCGTGCTTCGCTTGCAATTATCACAGTGCCAGGCTCCGCCTACATCTGGGTAGACTGTTAGTGGGTCGCTAAGGTGCAGGGGGTGGGCGGGGTGGAGTGGGTGTGGTTTCGGCGGGGCCTGGAAACACTCGGAGCACATGTAAAAACGGCAGCTCGGGAACCGACACGAGTAATAAAACTGGGAGTATATTTGTAAGGAGCACACCGAACAGTTTTTAAAATCTTCCCCTCTCTCTTTCTCTACCAGCCCGTGTTGATGCTGGTGGTGTTTAGTCCCTTTAAAACAAGTATCACAAATGTCTTCATCGCATTGCTTACAGTGGTACAGTAACCATAATTTATCACCGTGAGTCCCTTCTTTATTGCAGGCCTCACACGACCAGCTCTTGTAGTGTCGATACTCTATGCGTGGGTCTATGGGGTAGAGGGTGTGGCTACCGTCTTGATGGAGGGCGTGGCGCCATTTTCCTTTAAAGCAGTCGGTACATAGGTCAACGTCACATCTACAATAAAATAGAATAAATTAATTACCATTTCAAATCATAATAGTTTAAGTTTAATGTGGTCACAGAAGCCAATTAAAAATGTGATAAAACTCTCTCTCTAAGAACAAAAGTGGGCGTCCCTGTATAAACACAGCTGCAGTTTCAAACTGGCTTATCTAAACTACTTCCGAGTTTAAGTCAGTACTGAAGCAAGTGCTTTTTGTAGCATTATACACTGATCCAAACACAGTTTACAATTGAACTGGTATAGTCAACTTTAAACTGTATACAGCTGTCTTTATTATTATTATTATTATTATTAAATTTATTTTGATTATTTTTGTCTTTTCCTTCTTTGTTTCCTTCTTTCCTATTCCTAAATCTAAGTGCTTTTCTTATTTTTAATAATAATAACAATATTAAATCCACCACTTACTTTTCACAGTGGTAGTTGGTCTGATTATTGCTAATACCAAATACCCTTCTACAAGCATCACAAGACCACACCCCCTTAGTCTTTGAATGACAAACATTAGATTGAGCCGGTTTCAACCGGTGGGTATGAAACGAGTGAGTATATCCTCTAAAACAATCCTCGCAACAGTCAAAGTAATCCGGTCTCTTACACTGGGTACAATGGTAGGCGTATTGGTGGGTACTATTGTCCGAACGACCGTCAAATGAACGCTGGCATATGTCACACTTCCATCTTGAGCCAAATTCTTTGTAAAGTAGCCTAGTGTCCTTTTTAATTAGTGGGTGGGGGTGGTATGGGTGATCCTGGATCCTTTCATCAGCCATTTTGTATTGAGTTTGAATTCAAAAGACTATTCAAATTTCAAATAAGAATTCTGCTGACTGGACTATATAATTAGTTGACAGCTGCTGAGTCAGCAGTTAGTGATGTGCTTTGTCAGCAATTTATTAAATAATTGCTGACAGTGCAGATTTATAAGTAAATGTCACTCGTTCCTTATAAGGAGATGTGAACATGTAGCACTTCTCTCTATAATGATATTCATAGCTTGTGGTCAGTAGCTAGTGCATCCAACCCATGATAGCCTCTCACAATTTTCTGTGTATAAAAACATCCAATCCTTGCTGACTGAATAATCAAGCCTGTCATGTATATAGTCATCACTGAGAGATGATAAAATTTTTGAATGGAGACTAACAGTCTCCTAAAAGTAAAGTAAAAGATTAGTGAATGCAATACATGAATAATGGGCACAACTATTGATAATAATATTAAGTGTTACGGCTACTGCAGGGACATATTTAGGTACATATACACAGCCAAAAATATAATCATGTTGATCAGGCCTGATTCAGCCTAAATTTAAACCAGGCCTGATATCTGGCATGGATCATGGATTTTGGACGATCAGTCCTGATACAATCATGGAGTCAGCCACAGTATACAGACATGATAAGTATCTATACTGGATCAGGCCAGACTGACTTTCGTGATTCAGCAATGCTAGCCAACAGGGCTGTACCAGTACTGATATCAGGCTTGAGTCATTAATTTTGGGCAACAGTTTGAATCAGGCCTGAATATATTTGGTTGTGTATGATGTGTAGAACTGTAGGTATGAAATCAGCACCTTATAGTGGAATCAGACCTGATCACCATAAGTTGCTGATTTAGGCATGATAATAATTAGTTGTTTAGTGTTCCATAACAAATATCTCTCTCTCTCTTTTCTTTTCTTATTAAGATTCTGTTGTCTCTGAGCTTGCAGCAGATCACAGTTTAGAAGGAATCATTAAAGTATCACTGCAGTTGCTATCACGCACCAACGTCAAAGGTAGAGCACATCAAGATCAAAGAAGCTGGAAACTTTCAAGGGTCTAAACATTCACAAATGTCACTCAATCAATGTAGAAAAGTCTTTTTGTGCAAATTGTACATTTAAAAGGCTACAAATAATATTGAGCTGGTCTGCATGGGTGATCTATAAAAAATCATAGATTCATGTAAATGTTAATAAGTAGCCTGCAGATAGACAATTATGAAAGTTGTTCCCCTTGAAAGTATTCAACGTTATTATACACATACAGGATTATTGTTTCAAATCATTTCAATCTGTATAGGTATTATAGTACTGACTGATGGTGTGGGTGGGTTTGCCACGCCTACTTCAATGCATACCATAGTTTCTCAATTAAGAACCACTAATGTTAGCTGTTGGGTCGTTTTATGCGGGGGCGGTACCAGCCCAAGAATATCGCTAGGGGCCGTAGTTGATACTCAGTCTCTGGAACATTTAACAAAATCATGTAATGGGTGTATCTTAAATCCAGCAAAAGTATAATTTAAACTATGAAATTTAAATTAATTTTTTGGGAATTTTTTAGATACTAAATTCAGTTTCTTCTCCTGATGAAGGGCCTGTAGAAATTAACTTGATACAAAAATGTATTTTGATGTGGTCGCTTCAGTGCTCGGCATGGGAGGGGCGTGTTGGGGGCGTGGCACTTCAGAGCTCCGCCTATGAAGACCCTTTCGTACCTCAGACGGAATACAAGTATCAGAGATCTCTATTTAAAGCCCCTGGAATGAGGTAGTTAATTAATAAAATTGCATTTGAATTAGAAGTTATTTCTTAGAGTCATTGGTTGTCGGATCAGGGAAGGTTTTCTAATTAAGAGTATCTTGCTTAACGGTAAGGAATTATTTCTTTCTCGTTGAAGTACAGTGTGCATGTATGTTTTTTAGAAAGGGAAATTGAGATTGTGATGGAGCTGCTATGGCAACCAAACGTTACAATACAATACACAGTCCAAACTGTAAGAAAGAAATTTTGCAAATTAAACTAAATAAATAAAATTAATGATATTTTTCTTTCTTTCTAGTCGTTCCCATTATCTGATGTAGATTTCTATCATTCTGTCATTACAATTTCTTTTTCTGCTCCATATCATTTCGTGAGAGACTTTCTCAGCGAATCGGATCCAAGAACAGCTCTACCTCAGTAAACAAACTAACTATGAACAATTACACATGCAAACAAGTTTATAATTATGCATGTATACCGTATAGCTTGATATTTTCGTGGGTCGATATTTTCGTGGTTTGCTCCTAGTGGGGCAATTCGTGGTTTAATTTTCGTGGTTGACAGTTTACATAGCCTGTAAGGGGATGGCACTTCAATGATTTCGTGGGTTTAAATTTCGTGGGCAGCCCATAACCACAAAAATCACGAAATTTACATTCCACGAAAATTTCAAGCTATACGGTATGTACATGTACAGTGTGTATGTACTTATTTTAAAATAAATGGTTGATTTATTTTTTATTTAATTTCTAGTGCTACTGCCCTAAGAAGGTTCAAGCAATCACTTAAAAGGTATGTTTTAGTTCAGATTTTGTCTATTTTTATTCTCCTCTCTCTCCCTCCCTCTTTCTCTTCCTTGCAGTCTAACTCATTCTGATGAAGTTCTATTTCATCTCCTCTCCTTCTCTTCAGTGGCTGATTATTACAAGTTTCCCCAGAGTATTCTCGATGGTATGCCTCTTTTAACAATACCACCAAACCAGTCTAAACCGGTTTTAGCCATCAACACTGATGGAGAAGACAAGTAAGTACTAAATAATAATAATGAACATGTTAGATTATTTTTTAATATTATTTTGTACATGAATTATCATAAATTTTTCTCTCTCTGTCCCTCTCCCCAGATCTCTCCTAACTCTAGCTAACTACTGGAAGTCATTATCAACCCTTGACTTCAATCATTGGACCCATTGGTTCCATTCTTATAAGATACCACTGGTCCTCCATCAAGACTCCTCCCTCCCCCTTCACATTGTCTGCCCCTCCCCTACTGGTCGATACTCCTCTGTACAGTGTAGGGTCTCAGCCTCGAAACTTTACTCATCACTTCGTATCTGGAGTACTCTAGTATTACAAGAGAGTCATTCATATGTTCGTATACTGCCTGATCCTAAAACCCCAGCCTATTTCTGTATTGCACGGCTGGTCCAGATGCAGCCTTGCATGTTGATACATTTGGGTTTTATAGAGGGGACCCCGTGGGACCTTCAACAAGAGGTGAAGGCCTCGTTAAAAGGTTTGATAGCTGGTTTAAAGCTCTCACTAGCCACTACTGATCAATCATCAATAAAGGGTTCGCGTCATAATAAGAAGAGAGGGAGTAGTGTAGCCATACCCCAGCAGCCTTGTGCCACACTCATTAATAAACAGTTGCAGCGTTCCCTCGTCAGCTATCAGCTAGGGGAACGAGGGGAGGTTCCCCTTCAGTGGGGCTACATGAACCATCATCGCTGGCAGTGGAAGGTCTCGCAGCCACACCCACAGTTGCTCATGGCGTTGCTACGGCGACGGATACAGGAAGGGTTTATCATTGCCAGTGCTCATAATGGGATAGTTACGTTAGTAGTGGAGATAAAAGTGAAAGTAAGAACAATAATTAGTGTATATGTTTTATATAGTATAAGGACATCAATGTGTATCAGAAAATGTAATAAAAATTTGGGGTAATTCCGGAGCCATTTTTTGGAAAAAACCATGGGCTATAGCCTTGGGTATTTTTCAGAATTTCGGTGTTTTCTTAAAATGGCCGTAACTCAAAAAATTAAAGTCGGAATCAGCTCAAACTTTCTACAGAGCACAAGGACAGCAACATGTATTAGAAAATGTAATAAAAATGTTTTTTGTATATTTTTATAGCAACCCTACTCAACTACAGTCCAGTCTTCCTTACTACAGTACGTCATTAGTCCACTTTCTTCCTCCAAGAATACACTCAGTTCTTCTGGATCATTCTCTACTGAACTGTGGATAGAGCCACAGTACCTGACCATTGATCAAACACCAGAAGGACTTAAATATTTGCAAGAGAAAAATGTACTCGATGCCCACTATGAGGTAAATATTAAGCTACTTTGTACATGTACATCCAGTGAAGAGGTCGTGCATGGATGTACTGTAAAATTCTGCCGTGTTGTTTTATATTGTATCTGCTCAATGATATATGGTTGCTGTAAACAGGCAATATAAAAACTATCAATTGCAAAAAATCAACAAAAAAATACTAATTTGTAATATCTACCAATATTTCTGACTGCATTATTATATTGTTAAAGTAATACTGTATATTAAAGTCTGCTCTCCTTTCTTATTCTTCTTGTAGATTCACAGTGTTGATGTGCAAGTCTTAACTGCTTTGTGCAGTTTTTTGGAATATTCTCCAGCTCCTTCTCCTTCCATTCCGTCCCCTCTTGAGTGTGAGGCCTCCTCTTATGACCAGTTTGACTCAGGCCAGCTGGTAGAGATTCAATTTAACCTCTCTTCACTGTATCCTAAGAGTCACGTGACTGCATTCACTTTTTCAGCTTTCACTGAAAGTAAGAGAGAGAAGGAGAGAGAAAAGAAAGAGAGATGAGGAAATTTTGATAGTGAAAAATATAATTTTATCCAGAACATTGACATAGTTTTTCAGTACATGTAAATGCTATTATTTTATCTTTATTATTGATTTATTTGTTTTTTTGTTTGTTTGTTTGCTTGTTTGTTTATTTAAATTGTTTGTTTATTTTCAGGAAATCTCACTACTTCTCCTATTACACTGGATAATTGTTCCCCTCAAAACCGAAACCTCCACAGCAGTTTCATTGACCAGCTACTCCTGCTCTCCTGTACCAGTATACCTGTGCATGACTCCGCCCTCATCCTTAACAGGTTAAAGTCGTCAGACCAGTTGAGCCAGTTTGTCAAGTTGTTTGACCCCGCCCACGAAGGATCACGCCTACTCTGGCGATGCTTTGCCTCCAGTAAAGGAGAAACTCTCTCGATTATTTTTACACCTTGTTTTCTCTGTCCCACATCCGATCTTACCTCCCTCTGTCTCCCTGTTGTTGTCATGGTTACTAACCTCTCCGCTTTACTTGGTCCTGATAAACTAGGGGGTGTGGTCGAGCCCCTCCCACCAGACGCATACATTGAAGAATTATTCAAGAGCGAGGGGGCCCATGAAGCCACACCCCCGATAATTAAAGACTTGAGGAAATCCTTAAAATACATTCATAAACTATCGTATCTCCATTCTCTTCAGTTCAGTCTCCAGCAGTCCGTTAGTGTGGATGAGGATGACCTAAAGCAGGGACTTAGTGTCTGCCATGTTACCAGTGTACCGGTTGACATCACTCCGCTACTGGTCGGGGTTTGTCACCATGTTTGCTTCAGTAGGGGAGAAGGAGGAGAGAAAGGAGAGATGGTTTCTTCTGATAGTTTATCTGTTCTGTTGGAGCTTCTTGGGGACCAGAGGCGTAGTTCTTATCGAATGGTTTCTTTAATTGAATCCGGAGAGGAGGAGGGGGAGAAGGAGGAGGGGAAAGGGGAGGAGTTGTGTGTCACGAGGGAAGAAGAGGTCTCAGTGTTATTGAGTCTCTTCTTGTCTGGGCTTGGTTTTAAGTTGATCAAGAATGGGAGGTATTTCTGGTTAGAGAAACAGACTAATGCTAGCTACACATTTCAAAAAGAGGTGAGTCCTCATACTTGTAAATGTATGTGTACATATTTTACATCATTCTATAGTACTCATTCTGTAGTAGATCTAAATGTACACTTGTAATTTTAATAGTACGCATGTATAACTATAATTGCGCCTAATCAATTGCTCAATTAATGAAGCAGAGTATAGTAAATAGTTAAGCTAATAAAAATTAACAGTCAATATAATCACTACAAGGTATGACAGACTGTAATATTGAAATGATATAATATATCAGCACAATGTAAACACACTTATGTGTGTAGGGGACAGTATTTAATTGTTACGACGAGTTTTCATCTCTGAGAACTGCAGAGTAGTCGTCTTCCAACTCCACCACTTAATTCCTTGATCACTGCTAGTTGAAGTATCAAAATATTGACCATTAAGACTTGAATGATAGCAGGTATGATACCACCAGGCACCAGTGTAGGACTGAGCACAGTTACCTCCTGACCATGCATCATTATCATTATCATATGTACTGAATCTCCTTCCATAATGCCACAACAGACTGTCCCCAGCAGTACCAGAATATCCTTCTGCTGTTAGTATATATTCAGTACTACCATCACCAATACTGAATGTAGAGTAGTTAGCATAAGCTGTGTCATTATCAAAGTCTTCCAGGTCCACTCTTAGTGTGTTTGATCTTTCTTTAGTAAGGCGATAGATCTTGCTCAATCCTAACCAAAACTCACCAGTAAGGTCACCAAATCCATTCTCATAGTCAGTCCAGTTCCTATAGAAATCAACAGATCCATCTTCTCTCCTCTGAAATAAAGTCCATCCACCACCATCAGTCTCCATATCACAGTATACCTATGACCCAATATAGTGTATCATAAATGATAAACTTAAACTAACTTCAAATTGAGTCCCTCCATCAGGATTAACAGTATAAACACCACTTGCATTATTACCATACTCAAACAAGCTCTTACAATCACTGATATCTATTTTTATAATGTCAGTATTATATATTATTAAACTATTAATTTATTTACCTTGTGGACAGGCTTGTGGCCATACATCAGGACATACCATGATAGTCTTCACTCTTCCTTCTCTCATACGAATAGTCTGTCCTAAGTTACTGCTGTTACAGCATGTCCTTATATACAGTGATGGTTCATGTTTAAAATCAGCCCTACAATAAGATCCTTCTCCTTCATCAATGGTAACTAGTAAGGACAGTAACAGGAACAACATCATAAAGATGGACATCTTTAACACTTTACTGGAAAGCAAGGATTGGAATTTGAAGCATGTATTGAAAGTTTATGCTTCTGATTGTCTTACAATATGACCTGTAAACTCCAGCATTTTTTCAATCTCTTAGCTACACCCAAAATTAAGTCACACTGCCCACACTCTTAATTACATTTGGTAAAAGAATTTGTGAATAAAAATGCATTGACCAGTGCTCTGCTCATTAGACTCTTAACTGATTCCTTATAATACTAACATGCAGCTTTTAGTCTTGAGAAGTGACACTTTGTTGGTCATTTTTAGAATAAAGTTATTTTATACAGTAAAGAATATAATTGGTACACTAGATACTGTCCATTAAATGGAGGTGTCTGCTATAGCTTATAGAAAGTGCCTGTTAAGGGTGGCTTTACTGCATATACTGTGCTTTTAAAATCTTGCTTGTTCAAAATTTGCTTCATTCTAATACAATTTTTTAATAATGAGTTAAAATTATAATAAAAAAGTAAATATTCTAATCACTACATCTACAAGGTATGACACACTGCAATATTGAAAATTTGAAATAATAAGTCACTGCTAAGTATACACACTTTTCTGTGAGGAACAGTATTTAATTATTACAACTAGTTTTAATTTCAGTGAAATCAAGATTATAGTATCCTTTCCAATCCCTCCAAGTAGTGGCATCATCATTATTACCTCCATAATAATAAGGACCATTAAGATTTGAACGTTCACAGTGCATACCGCTATACCACCAGGCACCAGTGTAGGTCTCAGCACAGTTTTCATTTAACCTGTGATCATTATCATTATCTCTTGCAGTGAATCTCCTTCCGTTATGATACCAGGGTAGCAGTACCAGAGTATCCTCCTACTGTTAGTATATATGGTGGTTAGTATTATATGTGGTGGCAATGTCTGGTAGCCACCACATATTGCTGGAATTTTTGCTTCAATTTTTTATAACTGATGAAAGGAAATAACAAATGCTACATGTACAGTAGATAAAAAGTCAATATTTATTCTTATCACTACAAGGCATGACAGGATGTATTATTGAAATGACATAATGTTATATCACCACAATGTAAACACACATGGAGGGGCAATATTTCAATTGTTACGACGAGTTTCCATCTCTGTGAACTTGAGGGTTTCATATCCTTTCCAGTCTTGCCAAGTAATAGCATCATCATCACGTACATTTGCTTTACGATAACGACTGTTAAGATTTGAACGATCACAGCTTCTATACCACCAGGCACCAGTTGTCCTCTGAGCACAGTTACTTGATAAATCATCATTATCATTATCTTTTGTACTGAATCTGCTTCCATTATGATATGCTAAACTATCCCCAGCAGTACCAGAGTATCCCCCTACTGTTAGTATATATTCAGTACTACCATCACTAATATTGAATGTAGAGTAGTTAGCATAAGTTGTGTTCCCCTCAAAGTCTCCCAGGTCCACTCTTAGTGTGTTTGATCCTTCTTTAGTAAGACGATGAATCTTGCTCAATCCTAACCAAAACTCACCAGTAAGATCACCAAATCCATTTTCATAGTCAGTCCAGTATCTATAGAAATCAACAGATCCATCTTGTCTCCTCTGAAATACAGTCCATCCACCACCATCAGTCTCCATATCACAGTATACCTGTGATTCAATAGTGTATGATTGCAAATTACTCAGTTTTTAACTAACTTCAAATGGAGTCCCTCCATCAGGATTAACAGTATAAACACCACTTGTAGTATTACCATCCTCAAACAAGCCCTTACAGTCTCTTATATCTATAATACAATTATTAAACACTCCTACTATTATTGCAGTACCTTTTGGACAAGACTTTGGATGTACATTAGGACATAAAATATATTGTGTTATACCAGTCTCTTGGATAGAAAAAGCCTGTCCTAAGTTACTGCTGTTACAGCATGTCCTTATATACAGTGATGGTTCATGTTTATATCCAGTACTAGCCATACAATAGGATCCTTCTCCTTCATCAATAGTAACTATTAAAGACAGCAACAGCAACATAAAAATGAACATCTTTGACATTTTTCACTAGACTGTTCGTGATTTGGACAAGGACTAGAATTGAAAGCAGAACTAGGCTTCTGTTGCTGTTTATTAGCTAACATTATGTCACATTGCCGACCACACTCTTAGTTAGCTTGTAGTTATGGTGTTACTCTACCACTGTCTTGATAATACTGCATGAATGTGAGTATTTTATAATGAGTGCATGCTATACATGAATGCTTATGCAATATTAACTGTTACTGTAGTTAATTGCTATTTCAGTCTTCATTTTTTTCTCTCTTTTTTTCTCTCTTTCCTTGTTAATTAAATGTTCAGTATGTACTATGATCATGTCTTGTTTTATGCTACTCTCAGTCAATGGTATGCATAGATCAATTGTGTCAATTCTTTAACTTAAACTATTAGCATTAATTGTTTATGTGTATAGTTGTAGTAGATATATTAGACAGATACACTTCTAGTATTTTTTGTCTTAGTGGGACAAGCTAAGGCTTATCCCAATTAATTAATATTGACAATAATGGACTAATGAATTTCATGTAGTACATCAGCCCCGCCTATGTAGTAGAAACCAATTTTTATTGTATTACTGTTAATAAAAAAGTAATGGCAAATAATCACTACAAGGTATGACAGACTGTAATATTGAAATGACGTAATAATATATCAACACAAATTAAACACACTTGTGGGTGTGGGGGACAGTATTTAATTGTTACGACGAGTTTTCATATCTGAGAACTGCAGAGTAGTTGGTATCCAGCTCCACCACTTAATCCCTTGATTAGCACTAGTTGAAGTATTAAAATAACGATCATTAAGACTTGAATGATAGCAGCTATTATACCACCAGGCACCAGTGTAGTATAGAGCACAGCTACCTCTTGACCATAGATCATTATCGTTATCTACTGTACTGAATTTCCTGCCATTATGATAGGCCAGACTATCCCCAGCAGTACCAGAGTATCCTCCTACTGTTAGTATATATTCAGTACTACCATCACTAACATTAAATGTAGAGTAGCTAGCATAAGTTGTGTTTCCCTCAAAGTCTTCCAGGTCCACTCTTAGTGTGTTTGATCCTTCGTTAGTAAGACGATGAATCTTGCTCAATCCTAACCAAAACTCACCAGTAAGGTCACCAAATCCATTCTCATAGTCAGCCCAACCTCTAAAAAAATCAACAGATCCATCTTGTCTCCTCTGAAATACAGTCCATCCACCACCATCAGTCTTCATATCGCAGTATACCTGTGATGCAATATAGTGTATCATTATAAATGATGAAGGATTTAGCTAACTTCAAATGGAGTCCCTCTATCAGGATTAACAGTATAAACACCACTTGTAGTATTACCATCCTCAAACAAGCTCTTACAATCACTGATATCTAGTTTATAGTGTCAGTATATTATTAATGTTTTAACTATTAGTTTATTTACTTAGTGGTGGACAGGCTTGTGGCCTTACATCAGGACATACCATGATAGTCTTCACTCTTCCTTCTCTCTTACGAATAGTCTGTCCTAAGTTACTGCTGTTACAGCATGTCCTTATATACAGTGATGGTTCATGTTTATTTCCAGTACAATCAGCCATACAATAAGATCCTTCTCCTTCATCAATGGTAACTAGTAAGGATAGCAACAGCAACATCATAAAGATGGACATCTTTAACACTTCACTAGAAAACAAAGATTGGAATTTAAAGCATGTAT